GTAGAAGCTGCTTTCACGAAAACAAACCCCTCATATGTGTGAACATATCTGGTAATTAAGCTCTTTCTGGTTCAGATTCTGTTTATTAACCTATGCATTAACTATATATTATATATTAATCTATGCTTATTTCTTTGTTTAATTAGTTATTATTTTATTTTTCATATTTTTAACTTTTTAAAACAGGGGTCTCAAACTGCCGGCCCACGGGCCATAAACTATTTTTATGGTACACTATAATACTTATTATAAGTCACTACAGTATTTGAAGTAGGCCCTGTGTTTACGATAATTTATTTTTAACACCAAACATGACACTTTCTGTCCATGTTTATCTATTGCTGCACAGATTGTTTAATGTGTGTTTAAACTAACAGTAAAAACAGCACAGTATGACCATCTTAAACTATACACTAGCACCAAGACATAATGAGAAATGTTATTGGTTCACTGAAACTAACATTAGCTTAAGAGTCTGATTCATTAACCTTTCCTCATGGGTTTACCTCTTAAACAGTTTCTCCAAGCTCAGAGGAAATTGTTCCTTATGCAAAAAAAGGACATAATGAGGACACACAGGCTGTATGTGTGTATGTGTGTGCGTGTGTACTGGTTTTGGTGGTTTACAAGCACAGTTGTTTGTATAGTGACATAGGTATGACCTAGTTGTACTCTATTACGTAAAAATGTACTTTATAAAATATGGCGGCACTTTGGCTTAGTGTTTAGAACTGTTGCCTCAAAGAAAAAAGGTCACTGGTTTGAGTCCCAGCTGGGTCAGGTTGCATTTCTGTGTGGAGTTTGCATGTTCTCCCCATATTTCAGTAGCATATGCCAGAGTAAATAGTGCTTCATTCCATGGCAGGCCCTGATAAATCAATGACTAGAAGGATAGTGAGTTAAATGTATAAAATACATTACGCCTATGGAGAGTCCCTGTAGAACACCAGTGTGTGTGTGTGTGTGGGTGTGTGTGTGTTTGAGAAAGATAGATGATGGTCAAAAACAAACCTCTATAGACTTACGTCATGATCTGATTCTCTGCACCTGCCTCCACTAACACACCGTCCACGAACAGCGGCATGGCTGAGAAACTGTGACGAGTCCACTGACGACCTTCATCAAAGCTGATCCTGCAGCAGACAAATGATCAAGTCTCAGCGGATGACAAAGCTACATGCAAAAAAAAATGGATGCAATGGGGGTTTAGAGCAGTGATTCTCAACCACGTTCCTGAAGAACCACTAACTCTGCAAAACTCCATAGCTGCATCCCAAATCGCATACCTATGCACTATTCTATGCCATTTTGTAGTATAATTAGTGTAAGTGGTGTGTTCACACTGAATACTCTAAAAATAATAAGTGCACTTTAATCACACTGCAAAAAAATGCTTTTCTTACATAGATTTTTTGTCTTCTTTCTAGTCCAAATATCTAAAAATTCATAAAATCAAGAAGAATTTTCTACAGAAGCACAACATATTGTCTTGTTTTGAGAAATAATATGCCAATATTAAGTGAGTTTTTCCTTAATACAAGCAAAATAATCTGCCAATGGGGTAGGCAAATTAATCTTGTTTTTTCTTTTGACGTAAGATTATTTTGCTTACCCCATTGGCAGATTATTTTGCTTGTTTTAAGGAAAAACTCACTTAATATTGGCATATTATTTCTCAAAACAAGACAATATGTTGTGCTTCTGTAGAAAATTCTTCTTGATTTGGGAACTTTTAGATATTTGGACTAGAAACAAGACAAAAAATCTAAGTAAGAAAAGCATTTTTTGCAGTGTACCCAGATGATGCAGTCATTCAGCCGCTAAAATGAAGTGTGTAATGATGGACACTTCATGCACTCAACGACCGCAGGTTTGCTCACGTAGCGGAAGGGGCTGAGCTATCGGGCGCACATGTTGGATAACTTTATTTATTGTGGGTTGTGAAAGCAAAATTCTCCTAGGATAGTGATAATAGCGCCTCCCGATGGTGAATGCGGTTATACTCACGGCAGGTATTATTTGATATTTCAGTCATTTATTTCACTGATTTGGCAACCGTCAAACGTCATCAGGGAAAAGGTTTAAATTTCCGCTTAGTAAAAAAACATTAGTGTGCCATTTGGGACGACACTACATACATATAATATCCTGTTGAGTGTGTAAGTGCATAAGTACATAGTGCAGAGTGCATAGTGTATAGTGTGCCATTAGGGACGCAGCTCATGTCTCTTTAAGCAAACACACCTGATTCAGATCATCAGCTCTTTAGCAGAGATTGAAAGACTGGTTATGTGTGTGAAAAATAAAGGAGACATCCAAAACATGCAATGTTGGTGATCCTCCAGGAATGTGGTTGAGAAACACTGGTTTAGAGCAATCTGAGTGTAACTAATTAAAATAAATTATATAAATAAATATGTATGCAATGGGGGTTTAGAGCAGTGTTTCTCAACCACGTTCCTGGAGGACCACTAACTCTGCAAAACTCCATGTCTTCTTAAGCTAACACACCTGATTCAGATCATCAGCTCATTAGCAGAGATTGAAAGACTGGTAATGATGAGTGTGAAAAATGAAAAAGACATCCAAAACATGCAATGTTGGTGGTCCTCCAGCAATGTGGTTGAGAAACACTGCTTTAGAGCAATCTGAGTGTAAGTATTTAAAATAAATGATATATATATATATATATATATATATATTTCCATTATGCTTCGCTTTATGGTTTCGCTACATGTGGAGACATTCACATCATCTTTCCCGCATTTGTTGCAAATTGCGTGACATCAACTGGACGGAGGAGCTTGGCCGGACGTGCCCCGGCCCGAACCAATCACATCGAGCATGCTGTTGTTAATATTAGGAGGGAACTAAATCTATTTATCCTCGTTTGGAGTAAAACACTCTGGACAACGCTTAAACAAAAATTAAGACCTTATAAAAAAAAGCAGTTAAGACTTTTAACACCTTTTAGGGGCCTTAATTTTCTCATAATTGATTTATCAACTTTTAATACTTTTTAAGACGCCGCGGACACCCTGCAGCAATCAGCATTTTTTAAAGTATCTCCTCTTGTGTTTAACCAAATAATGAAACTCAAGCACGTTTTGAACACATTTGAAAGACTAAATAAAGACAGAAGTTTCATATTCAGTTGAAATGTCCCTTTAAAGACAAGCGAAGCAAGAAAAGCACAAGAAACTAGGACATTAATTTAAAAAATACGGAGTTTGTACAAGTCCACAAACGTGGGCGGGAGAAGAAGCAAGTAACTTTCATCTCGAACGCCTGATCTTGATGCTTTCTGACAGCTCATCAACATGGTTTCACAGGTGCAAACAGTAGGCCAGCATGTGTGACAAGGTTGCGGCGCAAGGACTAGAGCTCCCTGCGTGTTGTCTCCGGTCCGCTAAAAGCAACTGTTGACATGTATCCATTATGAGAACATACAGTCAAGGCTGTTATTTGAAGTCACACTTGCAGAAAACGACACGACTGCCCTCCACAGTTGTGACTCCACTTACTGTCTCGCTTGAGTTGTTTAAGAGAACAAAAAAAAATAAAAAAATGAAGGTTCCACACTTCAGTGGGCCTAAAACTAAAGCCCAATGTCACCAGTGATAAGAGAGAAAAGATTTAAGACTCTGGAGGATTAAACAGCACTGAAGCAAAACCAGGAAAGGCCAATTTGAGGAAGGAACCAATGTGTGAACTTGGGGGGATAAGTGGGAAGCTTTAATATGGAACACTTCCCATGGTACGACACATAAAAACTGATTCCAATCTGGTATTTGGCAGCCTTTGTTTCATTTTTTTGTTCTAGTAGGGGAGCATGTTCGACCTACAGTACGCCAACCCATTGATTTTTTTCCCCCTCAACGATCTTAATAGTACAAAACCTACCCTGTCAGGCAGACAGAGCGCCGACCGAAACGACTGAAGCGGGAATTCCACCAAACCAGCATGAATAAACCTGGCAGAATCAAAGTTATTTTCACCTACCAAAGATGTCTAGTGGGCACAGTGGGCTGCTTCACGGCTACCAAAGCTCCACCTTTGTCCAGAAACCACACGTTGTGCTCTTCCTCAAAAATCTGCATGGTGGGAAGAACAGCGTGGAGTTTTCTTATTGCACAAACATGGACACAAAGGCATTTTTATCACATCATGCAGCCATTTTTTTTTTTGGTTTAATCTCCACCATTTTTTTTTTGCTATTAAAAGTGCTGCAGTGATTTCATTCTGTTCCAAACCAATAAAAAAAGAAGTAGCTAGCATTTTTTAAATCTTATTTATTTTCTATGGCATCCTGTAATCAATGGCTTCTTTCTGAATGTGCTTTTAAAATAAGCTCACAACATTAGCATGTTTTAAAGGGGTGGTCCGCTACGATATATTTTAAACTTTAAAACAATGTCATCTTTGCATCTGAAATGACAAAATGAGCAAATGACACTTAATAATGGTTGTCATAAGCTTGCATAACATTTAACTCACATTGATGAAGTGTCATAACAAACAATGTCATCTTTGCATTTAAAATGACAAAACTGAGCAAATGACACTTAATAATAGCTGTCATAAGCATACATGAAGTCTCATTGACATTAATGAAGTGTCATAACAAACAATGTTATTGTTTCATTTAAAATGACAAGACTGAGTAAATGTAACTTAATTACAGTTGTTATAAGCATGCATAAAGTCTTATTCACGCTCATGAAGTGCCATAACAATATCATCTTTGCATTTAAAATGACAAAACTGGGAGAATGACACTTAATAACAGTTGTCATAAGCATGCATATTCTCATTCATATTCATGAAGTGTCATAATGTCATCTTTGCATTTAAAATGACAAAACTAAGCAAATTACAGTTAATAACAGTTGTCATAAGCATGCATATAGTCTCATTCACATTCATGATGTGTCATAACAAAAAATGTCAATGTTGCATTTAAAATGACAAAACTGAGCAAATGACACTTAATAACAGTTGTTATAAGCATTCATAAAGTCTCATTCACGTTCATGAAGTGCCATAACAATGTCATCTTTGCATTTAAAATAACAAAATTGAGCAAATGACACTTAATAACAGTTGTCATAAGCATTTATAAAGTCTCATTCACGTTCATGAAGTGCCATAAAAATGTCATCTTAACATTTAAAATGACAAAACAGTGCAGATGACACTTAATAACAGTTGTCATATGCATGCATAGTCTCATTCATATTCATGAAGTGTCATAATGTCATCTTTGCATTTAAAATGACAAAACTAAGCAAATGACACTTAAAAATAGTTGTCATAAGCATGCATAAAGTCTCATTCACGTTCATGATGTGTCATACCAAACAATATCACTGTTGCATTTAAAATGACAAAACTGAGCAAATGACACTTAATAACAGTTGTTATAAGCATTCATAAAGTCTCATTCACGTTCATGAAGTGCCATAACAATGTCATCTTTACATTTAAAATGACCAAACAGTACAGATGACACTTAATAACAGTTGTCATATGCATGCATAGTCTCATTCGTATTCATGAAGTGTCATAATGTCATCTTTGCATTTAAAATGACAAAACTGAGCAAATGACACTTAATAACAGTTGTTATAAGCATTCATAAAGTCTCATTCACGTTCATGAAGTGCCATAACAATGTCATCTTTGCATTTAAAATAACAAAACTGAGCAAATGACACTTAATAACAGTTGTCATAAGCATTTATAAAGTCTCATTCACGTTCATAAAGTGCCATAAAAATGTCCTCTTTAAATTTAAAATGACAAAACAGTGCAGATGACACTTAATAACAGTTGTCATATGCATGCATAGTCTCATTGGTATTCATGAAGTGTTATAATGTCATCTTTGCATTTAAAATGACAAAACTGAGCAAATGACACTTAATAACAGTTGTTATAAGCATTCATAAAGTCTCATTCACGTTCATGAAGTGCCATAACAATGTCATCTTTGCATTTAAAATAACAAAACGGAGCAAATGACACTTAATAACAGTTGTCATAAGCATTCATAAAGTCTCATTCACGTTCATGAAGTGCCATAACAATGTCATCTTTACATTTAAAATGACAAAACAGTACAGATGACACTTAATAACAGTTGTCATATGCATGCATAGTCTCATTTGTATTCATGAAGTGTCATAATGTCATCTTTGCATTTAAAATGACAAAACTAAGCAAATGACACTTAACAGTTGTCATTAGCACGCATAAAGCCTCATTCACAGTGTCATATCAATGCCATCTTTGCATTTAAAATAACAAAACTGAGGGAATGACACCTTATAACAGGTGTCATAAGCATGCATAAAGTCTCATTCACATTCATGACGTGTCATAACTGTCATGTTTGCATTTAAAATGACAAAAATGAGCAAATTACACCTACTAGCAGTTGTCATAAGCATGCATGAAGTCTAATTCACATTCATAAAGTGTCATGTCATGATTATAAAGGACTTATGAACACTCTGTCAAGTAAAATGTGACCCAAATGGAAGATATTGTAAATAATAAGTGTCATACCTGTCTCCAGTTATTGCCTGCGTCTGATAAAATGAACATGGCCACATTATTGTAAGACAGCTCAGATCCAATATTTCCTGAAACACAAGGCCAAAATCATCATTTGTTTTACATAATAAAGCACACAATAATGGAACATTTCCAAATTCGCAAAGCAACAAATGCACATTTGTATAACATGTCGAATAAGCAGCTTTTGTAATTGAGGCAGCATGGGTCAATATTTGCTCAATCCACACTCATACAAGCAGAACATGCAAGGACACACACACACATTCAAACCCACACACTCAGCTCTGCCTGTCATGTTCACTCACATCATAAGAAAGAATCCAAGTAGAGGAAAATAATGATATACAGTGCATTGCTATTCAAAAGGTTGGGCTCGGTAAGATTTTTCAAGTGATTTTGAAATGTAAACTCACTACTGCCTCATTTGTTTGATTGAAAACGCGGTAAAAACAGTGTAAATGTGCAATGTAGTTTACATTTTAATTCACAGGTCTGTAGCTCTTAATTTCTTATGCTCATGGTCGTTAATATATGTTAAAGGGCACCTAGGTTACCCCTTTTTTCAGATTTAATATAAGTCTTTTGAGTCTCTAGAATGTGTATATAAAGTTTCAGCTCAAAACACCCATCAGATTTTTCATTATACCTTTTACAAGATGCTGTTTTATACTGATTTCCAGCAGGGGGTGGTTTTGCTGAACTGCGTCTTTAAGGCGAGTTCTGCCCGCCTACTGTTTCTATGTGCCTTCCCGCGTGCTTTAATCTCCTCCCTCGGCTGCGTCAGACAACAGACAGACTTAAAGGAAGAAGGTCTCACGTAGCGTTTGTGAGGAATACTACAGTAAGAACTAATCTTTACTAATCAGTATTGTGAAGTTGCATTGATGAGTCACACACAATATCGTTACAAAGTTCACACGTGCGCACACATACACACACACACACATAGAGATACACACGCACACCGCAGCTGACACACACACACACACACACAGGCAGGCAGACAGACAGAGCGCGCTTAGCTTCCCACATAGCAAAATTTCTCTGGCCCAGCTCTGGCCCACACAATCAGGTTTTGCTTGGCCCACATGCCGCAGTGAATTACGGTACATGACTGGACCAAATCTGGCTTCCAGACAAGGGCTAAACACGGACCATATCTGGGCCAAGTCTCAGCCAAGTTAATAACTCATAACTGGGCCTGAACTGGGCCAGATATGTTGGTGTGTCACGATTGCAATAAAATTGATAAACCCATGGAGTGATGCGCTTTATAGGCACACTATGGGCACGCTTTTTCTCAAAGTGACCTGATTGGTAGAATTTTTTTTCTTTACTTAAAAATGATTTTAGTGTATTTTAAATGTGGGTCAAGACTGGCCAAACTCACATGGCCCACTTTCAAATTTTTAAATCTGGGCCAAATACTATGTTTTTCATCTGGCCCAAATCTTGTGTGCCGCCTTAAAGACGGTGCCACCTCTGCCAAACCCGGGCCATGTTTGGCCCACATGCTGTATGCCAGTGCCGGATGAATGCCTGCTGTGCCAGCTTTATGCTAAATCTGGGCCAGAATTCTTTGCTACTAGGGTTAGCACTGTTTTTGCACTCAAATGTGACAGGATACAGGCTAACCTCCAGTGCTGTGTGGATATCTGTTATGCTAGTGTACAAAATAAACCTGATTTAACTTCCACAAACCGGGATTGAAGAGTCTTCTTTTATAATTGTAATTGTAATTATAATTATAATTGTATTGTATAACTGATGAAGTAAAGCTGAAGTAAATCGCTGTAATTAATTACACACTTGCACTGTTTTAAAACACTTTAAACATGTGAAACTTACTCTTAATCACATTTGATGATGATTGCTGATCCTAGCGAACAGAACAGACCTTTTATTCCCGGTTGATTCGCGTATGTCTGCCTGGTCTTGTTGACATATACACGTGACTACCGGAACATGTTAATGTGGCAGCTGTCAATCAACTCGGTGGGCGAGGGGACCGCACTCCTACGTAAAGTTGCGGTCGGTCTGAAAACCGCTCTAATTGGTCCACCGTTTTTATGTTATTAAATTAAAAAAAAAAGGACTGGGTGTGTTTATATCACCCCAATATGATGGTCTATACACTATATACACATGTTTGTCCAAATAGCTAGAAAAGTAGATTTTTCACCATAGGTGCTCTTTAATTTTCATGAATATCAATAGCATTTACAGTCAAAGTCAAAACTATTATCAGTGAACTCATTATCAAGTTCAAGAAACCAGACTCAGATGATTCAAGCTTTATGACATGGTGCGCTATCCTGCTGGAAGTAGCCATCAGAAGATGAGTACACTGGGGTTATAAAGGGATAGACATGGTCAGCAACAATACCATCCGAATATCACTGCAAAAATCGAGACTCATCAGACAAGGCAATGTTTTTCTAGTCATCGATTGTCCAATTTTGGTGAGCCTGAGCGAATTATAAGCCCCTTTCACACAGTGATACCGGTAAATATCTGGAAAATTTCCGGAACGACTTTACCGGTATATTCTAAAAAGCGCTGTTCACACAGGCGAGGACGTTACGGAAATTATCCGGAAAAGAGCATTCACACATCCATCGCAAAATGCCGGTAAATTCTGACATCATTAACCAGAAATGACCTCTAAACGGCTGCGCTTGTGTTTGTAAACATTTGACTACATTACAAACTCTTCGGATGGATCAGTATTGAGTACAACTCTAATGAAAACATAGGGAAACACTTTGATATGTGTGTGTGCTGGCTCTATGGGCGCTCACGGGCACACGCAAAGCTTGAAGGTAAACAAACAACGAATTATCATAAACATTTTATCGATAATTATTTACACAGCATTAAGAAGGAACATAGAAACATTATCTGACTAACATCTAGCAGCTAAAGGTGTCTGGAAAAAATATTCAAAGGTTTTTATTCTCATAAACCGCGCGCACGTGAATGCGTCTGACTGTTGTGATTGGCTAAAGCAGACGTCTCACGTCAGCCCGTTCTAGACGTGGACGCGCTTATTACGGCAATCTTCCTTCTGCATTCACACAGCGCAGCATTCCGGCAAATTACCGGTAATGTTACAACTTCTCTTTCCGGAAAATAGCCAGAACGAATTTATCGGTATTTTCAAAAAGGGCCTGTTCACACATACAACCTTTCCGGAAAATTGCCGGTAATTTTCCGGAAAGGTCTGTATGTGTGAAAGGGGCTATAGCCTCAGTTTTCTGTTCTTGGGTGACAGGAGTGGCACCCGGTGTGGTCTTGTGCTACTGTAGCCCATCCACCTCAAGGTTGGACGTGTTCAGAGATGCTCTTCTGCACACCTTGGTTGTAACAAGTGTTTAGTTTAATTTGCTGTTGCCTTTCTATCAGCTGGAACCAGTCTGGCCATTCTCCTCTGACCTCAGGCATTAACAAGGCATTTGCACCCACAGAACTGCCCCTAACTGAATATTTTTTCTTGTTCAGACCATTCTCTGGAAACCCTAGAGATGGTTGTGCTTGAAAATCCCTATTGATTGAGCAGTTTCTAAAATACTTAAATCAGCCTGTCTGGCACCAACAACCATGCCACGTTCAAAGTCACTTAAATCAGGGATTCTTAAACTTTTCAGCCTGCGACCCCTAAAATATCAACTCCAGTGACTCCCGATCCCATTATGCTTGGAGGTGCTTATGAGCATACAAAGGCACACACATTAGTATGAACTATATAAACATAAGCATATTGGCAACACAAAAAAGTGCAACAGTCTTACAACCATATATTTTTTATAATCATTATAATTTTTTTTTGTTAATATTAATCTTACTTAACGAGAATGGTGAGCACAATGTTTATAGCACAAGACTTGGTTTAATTTTGGAGACTTGGAGCCACTTGGAGATCATCCTCCTTGTTCAGTCGTGGTCTTTATTTTTAATGTATGGGAGTGCCATAAAGGTGTCAAAGTTTAATATTGTACTGCAAAATCAATCTGCTGCAACTAACGCTATTGTTGTGATGTTAATCTAGCATAGTTACCAAAGGGGTCACAAATAAAATATAACAATTGATAAAATATGATAATTCTAATAGATTAATAAAATATATGAGATTTTTGGAAATCACCAAGCGACCCCCCCTCATTGTCTTGCGACCCCGACTTTAAAGAACTACTTACTTAAATCACCTTTCTTCTCCATTCTGATGCTTGATTTGAATGTCTTGATCATGTCTACATGCCTAAATGCATTGAGCTGCTGCCATGTGATTGGCTGATTAGCAATTTGTGTAAACGAGCGGTTGGACAGGTGTACCTAATAAAGTGGCCGGTGAGTGTAGATCTGACCACTTAAGCCAGGGGTGCTCAATCCTGTTCCTGGAGATCTACCTTCCTGTACAGCTTAGCTCCTACCCTAAACAAACCCACCTGAACCAATTAATTAGGACCTGAAATCCACTTGATAATTACAGACAGGTGTGTTTGATAAGGGTTGCAACTGAAATCTGCAGGAAGGTAGATCTCCAGGAACAGGATTGGCCACCCCTGACTTAAGTGGTCAGATCTACACTCACCGGCCACTTTATTAGGTACACCTGTCCAACTGCTCGTTTGAGCTTTTAAATATCACTTTAAGCTGAATATTAGTATCCTTAAAAATATCTAGTGAAATATTATATGCTGTCATCATGGCAAATATGAAAGAAATCAGTTATTAGAAATGAGTTATTAAAACTATTATGTTTAGAAATGTGTTGACAAAATCTTCTTTCTGTTAAATAGAAATTGGGGGGAAATATGCAGTAGGCAAAAAATTCAGGAGGGCTAATAAATCTGACGTCAACTGTTCATGAAATCTGCTTTACTTCAAGTAAATCAAACCAAAAACTGAATTGAAAAAGGAAAAAAAGAAGTGCATAAAGCTGAACTTAATGGGACATCTGAATTGATACCCCTAAAAGAGAACATTTCTCTGAGAATGACATTGAATCACAGAAGAAGAAAATGGGGAAAGAGAAAGAGGAAACTGATCTCGTGTTGTGTAGTTGTTGTTTTATGCATACACATACATGTGATGCTGTTTGCTGTTGGCCTGCTCTCAGACTGTCAGACTGAGCTGAGGGGAAGTGACTGTACATCTTTGAGTTGCCTGTGAGAAATTAGTTTATTTCCTTCAAGTGACAAGTTTAACAGCAGACTCGCTGCGGGGAGGTGAAATGAGAGCTTTTCATGCTTAGAACGTCTGTATATTTAAAACCAGGGGCTTTTTCAAAAAGGATTGCACTTGAGGGGATTTTCTGACAAGTGTATGACACCAGACCACCCATTACAGGACGAGTGATAGAGGAAATGAATATCTATCTATCTATCTATCTATCTATCTATCTATCTATCTATCTATCTATCTATCTATCTATCTATCTATCTATCTATCTATCTATCTGTCTATCTGTCTATCTGTCTATCTGTCTTGTCTATTTATCTATATATCTATCCACCTTTTTCTTTCCATTCACCCATCTTTCCATACATACATCTATCCATCCTTCATTCTTTCCTCCCTTCCTTCCTTCCATCCATCCATCCATCCATCCATCCATCCATCCATCAATCTTTCTTCCATCCAACCATCTTTCTTTCTTTTCATCCATCCATCCTTTTGTCCATCCTTCCATGGATCTGTCTTTCCATCATCCATCCATATTTTTGTTTTCCATCCATCCATCCATCCATCCATCCATCCATCCATCCATCCATCCTTCTTTCTTTCTTTCTTTCTTTCTTTCTTTCTTTCTTTCTTTCTTTCTTTCTTTCTTTCTTTCTTTCTTTCTTTCTTTCTTTCTTTCTTTCTTTCTTTCTTTCTTTTTTCCATCCAATCATCCTTCCTTCTTTCTTTTTATTCATCCATCCTTCTGTCCATCCTTTCATGTATCTGTATTTCCATCATCCATCCATCCATCCGTCCATTCATCTATCCTTCCATCCATCCATCTATCCATCCATCCATCCATCCATCCATCCATCCATCCTTCTTTCTTTCTTTCTTTCTTTCTTTCTTTCTTTCTTTCTTTCTTTCTTTCTTTCTTTCTTTCTTTCTACCTGTCCATCCATCATACACCAATATTTATTTCTTTATGTCGTTCTTTCCATCCATCCATCCATCCATCCATCCATCCATCCATCCATCCATCCATCCATCCATCCATCCATCCATCCATCCATCCTTCTTTCTTTCTTTCTTTCTTTCTTTCTTTCTTTCTTTCTTTCTTTCTTTCTTTCTTTCTTTCTTTCTTTCTTTCTTTCTTTCTTTCTACCTGTCCATCCATCATACACCAATATTTATTTCTTTATGTCGTTCTTTCCATCCATCCATCCATCCATCCATCCATCCATCCATCCATCCATCCTTCCTTTCTTCCATCCAACCACCCCTCTTTCTTTCTTTCTTTCTTTCTTTCTTTCTTTCTTTCTTTCTTTCTTTCTTTCTTTCTTTCTTTCTTTCTTTCTTTCTGTCTACCTGTCCATACATCATACATTTATCTTCATTTCTTTCTTTCTATTCATCCTTCCATCAGCCTGTCCATCCGCCATTGCATCCATCCATTCATCCATCTTTCTTTTCCTTCCATTCATTCATTTATCTTTCCATCAATCCATCCTTCATTCATTGCTTCCTTTCTTCCATCCACCCATCCTTCTTTCCTTCTTTTCATCTGTCTATCCTTCTGTCCATAGTCCCATCTATCTGTCTTTCCATCATACATGCATCATCCACCCACCCATCCATCCATCCTTCCCTTCTTTATTTTTCATCCGTCCATCCTTCAATGTATCTGTCCATCTGTTATCCATCTATCCATTCATATTTCTTTCCATCCATCCATCCATCCATCCATCCATCCATCCATCCATCCATCCATCCATCCATCCATCCATCCATCCATCCATCCATCCATCCTTCTGTCTGTTTATCTGTCATCCATCAACCTGTCTATCTATCCATCCATCCATCTTTTGTTCTTTCTTTCTTTTCCTCTGTCTACCTGTTCATCCATCATCCACCCATCTTTCTTTATTTATTTCCTTCTATACATCCATCCATCCTTCCATTAGTCTGTCTATCTGTCCATCTAGGTATTCAAATCTGCTTTGAGAAAATTGCTTTAAGTACAAACTAACTTTATTTTCTGTTAATAAAATGCACTTGTTAGTTCAGGATTTTACATCAATGATCACATACATTTGATACAAAAATAACTGACATTTATTTCACATGCTATTAATCAAAATGTCACTCTAAATCATATCAGTCTGAATGACATCTGTGTTGATGTTTGGTATACGTTGTATGGATTGATGTTCTCAGAAGATTTCAGTTGTTTTGTTGGTTGTCATGGTAAATAAATCATTAAAACTGAAGAGGAGTAGTGGAGAATTGCTGCATGCCAGCTGGAAACATACAGCTTATATATTATCCCCTCAACATGTTTTGTTGAACCATTTCCACTTCTACTTCTGCTTTATGAGATGAGAACACACTTTTAGAATTCTTCAGATCAAGAAAGCAAAACAAGGATTTTTTCCATTTTAGCATGTGTTTTTTTGAAATGTCTATTATTTTTAGGTAGCAAAGACATTGATGCAAAAAAAAACATTCAAGTTGTGCAAGATTTTTTTGTCTCTTGTCTTTTAGAAAAGACACACTGCAGGTTCATAGACAAAAAAAAAAAAAAACAGTCACGAATCTATCTATCTACCCAAAAACCATCCCACTATCCATTTGTTCATTCATATGTCCATTCTTACATTCACCCAACTATGCATTTATTATCTGTCCTTCCGCCAATCCATCCATCCATCTGCCCATCCTTCCATCCCTCCATCCATCCAGCTGGCCACCCATCCATCCACCGTCCATCCATCCATACTTCGAAATATACAGTACAATCGTTCATCTGTCCATCCATATATCCACTTACCCATTGACCCATCGCTCAATCTGCTCATCCATCCACATGCCATCCATCCATTCAACCGTCTGTCCATCCATCCATCCATCCATCCATCAATTTATCCATCCATTCATCCATCCATCCATCCATCCATCCAACTAAACATCCGTTCATCCATCCATCTATCTATGTGACCATCCAACTATACATTTGCTCACATGTCCATCCATCCATCCATCCATCAAACTACACCTCCATTCAAGTCCGGTCCATACATCTATTCATCCATCGACCCTTCTTTCTTTCTTTCTTTCTTTCTTTCTTTCTTTCTTTCTTTCTTTCTTTCTTTCTTTCTACCTGTCCATCCATCATACACCAATATTTATTTCTTTATGTCGTTCTTTCCATCCATCCATCCATCCATCCATCCATCCATCCTTCCTTTCTTCCATCCAACCACCCCTCTTTCTTTCTTTCTTTCTTTCTTTCTTTCTTTCTTTCTTTCTTTCTTTCTTTCTTTCTTTCTTTCTGTCTACCTGTCCATACATCATACATTTATCTTCATTTCTTTCTTTCTATTCATCCTTCCATCAGCCTGTCCATCCGCCATTGCATCCATCCATTCATCCATCTTTCTTTTCCTTCCATTCATTCATTTATCTTTCCATCAATCCATCCTTCATTCATTGCTTCCTTTCTTCCATCCACCCATCCTTCTTTCCTTCTTTTCATCTGTCTATCCTTCTGTCCATAGTCCCATCTATCTGTCTTTCCATCATACATGCATCATCCACCCACCCATCCATCCATCCTTCCCTTCTTTATTTTTCATCCGTCCATCCTTCAATGTATCTGTCCATCTGTTATCCATCTATCCATTCATATTTCTTTCCATCCATCCATCCATCCATCCATCCATCCATCCATACATCCATACATTCATTCATCTGTCCAAATATAAATTAATTAATAAAAAAATAGCCCTCACTTTATATTAAGTGGCCTTCATTTCAATGTACTTATGTTTAGATAAATAACTTGATACAATTCACTTAATATGCACATACATTCTTTTATATAGTAATCATGGTTTAATAACGATTCTGCAAATACAAGTATACTTATTCCTTTAATTACCTTAACCCACCCTTAAACCTACCTACACCATCAAATCTGTTCCTAACCTTACCCATATCCCACTTCAACATCATCGTAAGTGTTGTGCAACACATCACAGTTATATTGTGTATAAGCACATTGTTTTTTATCTAGTGGTTAAGGCCACTTAAGGAAAAAAAATATATAATAAAAATAAATAAATAAACTGCCCAAATAAGCATATTTTCAGTGATCAGCTTGACATGGCAAGCAATGATTTACAGTAGCCTTGTACAAACATGCCAGCACACCCAACAGCATGACAGTCCCACACATGCCACACAGTTTTTTTTCGCCATGTACCTGTAGCCACGATGACTCCCGGCGCAGAGCTCTTGGTGGAGATGGATCCGGAAAGGTATGGGTTCTCTGACATCTGCAGTTGTAGGTGCAGCGAGCAAAACGGCTGAGCAGAGAGAAAGTGACACGTCCTCCATTAGCCACAACAAAGCTATTATGTAGCTGTCAATCAAAACAAGCCGGCATAGATCCCGCAGGCGTGAGAGAGTCTAAGACAATAAGCCGTAACGTAGGCGACTTTATGCTTAATATTGCGCAATTCATAACAACAGAAACAACTCCCATAATTCACTGTCACGACCCTGGATAAAGCGGCGTGATCTATTGCCTACCGGATACCGTTAATCTTGCGGTCGGAGAAGATCTGCGTGTAAACAAAACAACATAGCGCAGGTAAATCAAGACGATAAATCTAGGAGGCGATGCCAACCAATCATGGTGAAGGACGATGGAGGACATGATGCTATCAAGACAACACAAACAGAAATTAGCAGATTACAGTTGTTGTGAAGAATAATGCGGCATTGCTGTGTGTTCTAATACAGATGTAGAGTGTAGATTTTGGTGTGTTTATATTGAGAGAGGCTTTTTGTAATTTATGGAATTTGTATTTGAATGTAAACATTTAAAAGGTGAGTTATTGTGCAATATGGTTCTAATGGTGGATTATTCCAAACATTGTTTAGTAAATAAGACATTATTATTATTATTATTATTATTATTATTATTATTATTATTATTATTATTATTATTATTATTGTTATTATAATTCTTCTTCTTCTTATTATTATTATTGGTTAATTAATTCGTTTATTTATGTATGTATTAATTAATCTGTTTATTTATTGTTTAATATTATTTATTTATTAATAGTTTGTTAGTTTTTTAATTGGTTAGTTAGTTTATTTATTTATTTATTTATTTATTTATTTATTTATTATTATTATTATTATTAGTAGTAGTAGTAGTAGTAGTAGTAGTAGTAGTAGTAGAAGCAGTAATTAATTAATATGTTTATTTATTTATTTTATTGTTTTTATATTTAATAACAACAATAATAATAATTATTATTATTAATATTAATATTATTATTATTATTATTATTATTATTATTATTATTATTATTATTGATTAATTAATTCATTAATTAATGTATTTTTATTTTTTGATTAATTGTTTATTAATATTTATTTATTAATTGGTTGATTTATTTATTTTTATATTTATTTTTATATTTTTTTATTATTATTATTATTATTATTAATTCATTAATGTGTTTATTATTATTATTAATATTATTATTATTATTTTATTATTAAACACCCTCGTTTATTTATTTATTTTGTTTTAATTTAACTAATTTAATTTCAGCTTTTTTTAATTAATTATGCAACTAACTGCTCAATAAATAGTAAAGCATAGTAACCTGTCATTGTGGCAAAGACAAAATAAATTTGTTAAATTCATTTAATTTAAAATTATTTTTATTTAAATATTCAAGACTATTGTTTTAAAAATGTGTTGAAAAAATCTCTGTTGAAAACTGTTGAAATATTTCTAGCATTTTACAAGCAGTTTTATTGACATCTTTCCACAGTGAAAATACTAAATCAGCATTTTAACATGAGATTTAACACACATTCTGGTTATCCATGTTATATAAATTTTATCCTGATATTGCAATAGTAGGTAGTATTGGTTTTCACAAGATAATTAATAAATAAATATAATTGTATAGTAAACTTGTTATTAGAATAATTTAATTTAATTTAATTTAATTTAATTTAATTTAATTTAATTTAATTTAATTTAATTTAATTTAATTTAATTTAATTTGATTTAATTTAATTTAATTTAATTTAATTTAACTTTTGCATGAAATAAGAGTACTAGCAATCAGCAATTGTAGACATTTTAGGAAAGGTAAAATACGAGACAAAACATTTTTATTTAAATACTGTACAAGCAAGACACTTTGATGAAATAGAGGTGAAATGTGGCACGATCAAAAGAGTGATATAAAATAAAACAAAATGTCAGCGCTACTTTTAGATTTGCAGGTGTACAGTATGAGTGTCAACAAATAGCCTGACAAACAAATTATAGCGGACAAAATATTTTATATAATGTTTTTTAGGCGTGCAATTATATACATAAAGGATCTCACCTGTTTCAGCACATGCTTGGAAATGTTTGCAAACATTGTCACATAATGCAGAATGTGGTTACATTTTTTTAACATCTCTCTGGGTGCTGAAATCGCACATAATGATGTCTTGAGTTGTGAATTCTCTACAACTTTCCAAGTTTAAGTGGTGCTCTATTACACTTTTCCATGCATGAAGCTGATTTTCCGATTTGGCGTTTGCAGTGGCTTGTCAAAACTAAATCGCGCCTATTATAATCAGCTGTCTATACTGGAAGCAGCCAATGACACATTGAACCTTCAAAATGGTGGATGTACAATTTTACAGTGTCAGCAACTGAAGAGATTATATGTGATTTTACAGTATGTCATTATGCAGCAGGAAGTTATATGCTGAAGCAGAGGAATAATGGTCATAATTTGTAAATAATGTTCCTTTTCTTAAACAGACTAATTATTTGGCTTTCTAAGACCTCAATGTGTTGTCCATGGGTTTGTATTTATTTATTTTTTTGACTCTCGGAGTGAATTTTTTGCATTTCATGAACTTCAAGGTTTCAACTAAACTTTTCTTTATTATTATAATAAGAGAAAAAATACCTACATCTTTGGGCTTAACCATTAATAACTACAGTCTTTCAGCTTTTCCTAATGGCATTTTTCACTTCATAAGCCATTTAAGGTCTATGACAAACACTATTTTAAAGATATTTAGGCATTTTGTATTTTTAAGTAACTCAAGATCTCAAAACTCAGGGCTTCTGGTAGTACCAGAATAGCAAAGTCTACTAAAGGAGGTCAAGTGTTTTCATATATGTCTCCTAAACTCTGGAATAGCCTTCCTGATGATGCCAAAGGCTCAAACACACTCTTTCAGTTCAAAACTAGATTAAATAACTTTTTTTTAGTAATGCATATGAACATCACATAATTGTAGGATGCGTGAATGTGCTCCATACACACTTCCTCTCTTTATGCACCGGGCGCTCCTGCCGAATTTTTTTGACTCTCAGAGTGCATTTTTTTGCATTTCATGAACTTCAAGGTTTCAACTAAACTTTTCTTTATTATTATAATAAGAGAAAAAATACCTACATCTTTGGGCTTAACCATTAATAACTACAGTCTTTCAGATTTTCCTAATGGCATTTTTCACTTCATAAGCCATTTAAGGTCTATGACAAACACTATTTTAAAGATATTTAGGCATTTTGTATTTTTAAGTAACTCAAGATCTCAAAACTCAGGGCTTCTGGTAGTACCAGAATAGCAAAGTCTACTAAAGGAGGTCAAGTGTTTTCATATATGTCTCCTAAACTCTGGAATAGCCTTCCTGATGATGCCAAAGGCTCAAACACACTCTTTCAGTTCAAAACTAGATTAAATAACTTTTTTTTAGTAATGCATATGAACATCACATAATTGTAGGATGCGTGAATGTGCTCCATACACACTTCCTCTCTTTATGCACCGGGCGCTCCTGCCGAATTTTTTTGACTCTCAGAGTGCATTTTTTTGCATTTCATGAACTTCAAGGTTTCAACTAAACTTTTCTTTATTATTATAATAAGAGAAAAAATACCTACATCTTTGGGCTTAACCATTAATAACTACAGTCTTTCAGCTTTTCCTAATGGCATTTTTCACTTCATAAGCCATTTAAGGTCTATGACAAACACTATTTTAAAGATATTTAGGCATTTTGTATTTTTAAGTAACTCAAGATCTCAAAACTCAGGGCTTCTGGTAGTACCAGAATAGCAAAGTCTACTAAAGGAGGTCAAGTGTTCTCATATATGTCTCCTAAACTCTGGAATAGCCTTCCTGATGATGCCAAAGGCTCAAACACACTCTTTCAGTTCAAAACTAGATTAAATAACTTTTTTTTTTTAGTAATGCATATGAACATCACATAATTGTAGGATGCGTGAATGTGCTCCATACACACTTCCTCTCTTTATGCACCGGGCGCTCCTGCCGAATTTCCACTAGCTTTTCCCTCCATTTCTTGGATCCAAATAAACTGAAAAAGAGCAATTTTAACTTCTCCCCCAACCTCCCGCTGGCCTGGAGGTATCCATACTAGTGGATAGTGGTGTTCGGTTGCGGGTTTTTTGGAGTCGACTCCTGATTTTGAAGTCGGTGGAATCGACTCCGCAATCGTGCAAGGATTAAACATGCTGCCTCATGTCGCACTTTACACAATGCTACTGCCTCAATTGCTAATTTGTGCAGTTCTCCTCTGGTCAGACAAAATCAGCAGTAAATCATCTCCAGCCAAAATTAACTAATTAACCTACACTGTTTACAGCATATTTTAATTGTCTAATTTAAATAACTTAGAAAATTACATAGCAATTTTGGACACAGAAAGTTAAAACATCAGTTTATTATCGAAATGTTTAATAGAAAGATGAGTAGCATAAAAAAAAAAAAACTTCCCAATTGAGCCCAAACAACGTTTGAAAATTTTTATAGAATGGTCTACATATCTTCTTAATATAAATGTTTGATACTTGAATACTGTGCAGAGAGGACAAAATAATCTGCGGTTGTTCATTTCTTTATTTTTTTACTCTCTAACCGATCAATAAACAAAATAGCTAGCTTTTTCGTTTGATTTAAATATTAAACCCCCAACACGAAATATTTATCTTAAATAATTCATGCATTAACAAACCTATAGTAAAAAATGTAAGCTGTGTGACAGAAAAAATATCATATTGCTCTTGCTCTTGTAAATGTGATTTTCTTTAAAGTGTACTTTTAAATAGCTCATGACTTTACTTTTAAATATCACTGTTTGTTTTGTGCAATTTGTTCATTATTGTAATTTAATAACGGTGTGTTAATGGGACGACATACATCGGAGGAAAAGAAGTGAGTCAGACCTAGTTTTCAAACATTAAACCTCGGATTTTTATTTAAAAATCCTGTTTTGGAAACTAATTTCATTTGGT